ATGATTCAGGGTCAGAAAGTAACTAAGCATTTTGTGTTATTGCTGCTGGAAGTGCCCCCCTCATCCCTCCCATTCCCCTTACTCCTGTCCTTTATCTCTTTGCTAATGTTTAAAATTCCTTTAACAGCCGGGCTCGGTGGCTCAGCCTGTAATCCCGCGCCTTTGGGAGGCTGAGGTGAGTGGATTGCCTGAGCCCGCGGGTTCGAGACCCGCCTGGGCAGCGAGACCTCATCTCTACAATAAATCAAAAAATCAGCTGAGCATGGTAGCGCGCGCCTGTAGGTCCAGCTACTTGGAAGGCTGAGGCGGAAGGTTAGCCGGAGCCCAGCAGGTCCAGGCTGCAGTGGCTGGGAGCGGCCGCTGCACTTCCAGTCTGGGCGACAGAGTGAGACTCCAACTCAAAAAAAAAAAAAAAAAATTCCTTTAACAATGGCCACATCTTCTCATTCCATCGGTAGGTCTGAGGTTTAGCATGCCAACAGGCTGTCAGAGGCAACACAGTATTCCCACACAGCATCCGTGCCTGAGGGCACGACCTTCTGGTGGTGGAGTAGCTGGGAACCGAAGATGGTGAGGAGGGGCAGGGCACAGAAAGGGCAAGGCGCAGGGGCCAAGGTCAGCTTCATGGACCTGAAGAACCTGCCTAGCACGCTTTTTGTGCTGAAAGGGGACACCTGTTGACAGCAAATGACGCTGAACCACATCAAAAGGAACTTTTAATAAAGGGGCTAAACAACCACAGAGTCTAGGGGAAACGCTGCCCGACTCTAAGAAGGCATTAGGGTTCTGCCACAGACAAGTCACTTGCTAATGTACATCAAAGCTGAGTTACCAGAAAACAGAGGACAGGTAACGCTGGTGGTAAAAATTAAACACACTCCAGATGAGTCTGCCACTGCCCTCTGGGTGACCCCTGCGAGTATAAATTATAGACCTCAGGATAAAGTGGCAGATGCCAAGGGTTAGGTCACCAGCCAAAACTTGGGCAGAACTCCAATAAGGCATCACTCTGGATTCAGTTTACAGTATGTGGTTTTCACTTCTTTATGAACACCCTGACTCATCCTCTTTACCAGTGAATTTCATCTCGAGCCTTCAAGGCCCAGCTCACATGCCAGTTTCTCTCGGAAAACTTCCTGAATCCCCCTCTGAGTTTCTCTCATGTCTCGGTGCTCCCAAGCCCCCTGCTCTCGTCTCTGCTTCAGCCCGTCCTGTGTTCCGCCTTTTGTCTCAGCCTTCTGTGTTCCTGGTTTACAGGCCCCACCTAACTATAAGGTCTGGTGAAGGCAAGATTTCCACAGCATTCTGCTCTCTCTAAAAGTTGACATTTTACCTGGTTTAAGGGTATCACTTCTCTATGGCTTACATTTTGTTTTTTTATTTGTTTAGTGACTGCATTTCTCCTTTTTTCTTAAGCTCTGTGAGGGATGGTGTCATGTCTGCTGTATTCTCTAAATACCGTCAAGTGTCATATAACAACGTGCTGGTCAATGCATAGGCAACAGTGATCCTATAAGATTATGATACTGTATTTTAGCTGTGCCTTGTTTATATTTAGATCTGCTTAGATACAAAATATTTACCATTATGTTACAATTGCCTACAGTATTCAGAACAGTCACATGTAGTATAGGCTTGTACCTAGGAGCAATAGGCTAGACCATCTAGCCTAAGTGGGCGGTGGCCGCTACCGTCTTGGTTTGTGTAAGGACACTCTATGATAATCACACAACCACAGAGTCACCTAACGATGCATTTCTCAGACTATACCCCTGTCATTAAGTAATATGTGACTATATAGCGTAATTTCTATGGAAATATCTGGCATACAGTAGATATTCAATAAATGTTTCTTGAATGAATATGTTGAATGTTAATAGTTTTCAATTTAGCAGACATAACTTTTATTTTTTGAGCTGGAGTCTCACTCCGATGCCCAGGTTGGAGTGCTGTGGCACTCTCACTGCCTCCCCAGTGTCAACCTGCTGGGCTCCGGCAATCCTTCCGCCTTAGCCTTCCAAGTAGCCAGAACTACAGGCACATGCTACCGCACCTGGCTAGTTTTTTATTTTATTGTACAGAAGAGGTCTCACCAAGTTGCCCGGGCTGGTCTTGAACCCATGGGCTCAGGCAACCCACTGGCCTTGGCCTCCCAAAGTGCTGGGATTACAGGCTGAGCCACAGAGCCTGGCTGGCCAGATATAACTTATACCTAACGTTATGGCTCATAAATTAGAAGATCTGAATCAAACAAAATACAAATTAGAACTAAAACTGGAGACACAAGTACAGTAAACACACACACACACACACACACACACACACACACAAAATGCAAAGGCATACCTTCAGGAATAAATCCTGAATAGAGAAGACAAACTCTATAGCAAGCCCCAGAGACAGAAGACCCAAGGAATTTTTTTAGAAATAGTGATAAATTCTGCATTTTCTGCTTGAAATTTCCACTTAGAAAATAGGATTATTAGGTGTTTTTTCGATAAATAAAAATTTTAAAACAGGTGATAAGCCACTTATTCACAAGTCCAAAATAGAAAAACCATACCAGTTGATCACAAAGAAATTGGGATTGTAGATTTCTAGCTAAGCTTTGTTCCTCCTTTTATGCGGAATTATCTCTCATGGGGATATCCAAATCAAAATATATTTGCTGAGTGAAATCTTGATTGCTTCTCTAGATTTCTAGTAACACACACGGGGGAGTCTAATGCTCCGGAAATCTTAGCAGGCTCTTTCAGAATGGAATGTCTACTTTCTCATCCTGAGGTGTCATGAGAGAACTCGGCGGAGTCATCTTGTGTCTCAGAAAATCTTGAGTGAGCGGTGATGCCCTCCCAATGTGTGAACCAATGTGCTCACCATGTAGTGGCAACCATGCCAAGGAAGCAAA